AATAAATAAAGGGTTTTTTTTTTTTTTTTTAAATTTTATTTTGAATGAATTGTTACCTTGTAACACCGCGGTAGATGGAGGTACGTTGGCCGAAAGTATCGACGGACTTCTTGGGAGGCGGCGGCGGTGGATTGGTTAGGGTATCAGGGAGAGGGTGGGGAGGCGGCGCGTGGAGATGCTGGTGAAGGTGTTGTTCGGGGAACTGGGAGGGAGATCCACGGAGGAAACTAGCGGCTATGGTTTTGAGATCAGAATCGCAAATCTCAGATTCTTCACAGTAAGTGAGGGGCGTTTGATGGGGAGAAAACTGGAAGGGAGGCGGCAGCGGCGGAGGGGTGGAAGCTCCCCGGAGAAAATCCTCGAGCTTGGGGGAGAAAATGGAGAGATCAGGAGGATTAGGGTGGTGGAATAGAGAGAGAGAGTTGGGATTGTTAGAGAGAGAAAAGGCAAGCCAATTTGAAGAGGAGGAGGAAGAAGAAGAAGAAGAAGAAGATGAGGAATTAGAAGAGGACGAAGAGTTCATTCTATAAAAAATTGGTGGCTTCGCAGTGAAGCGGTGGTGGTTGTGGTTGTGGTGGTGGTGGTCGCCGCCGTGGTGGTGAGAGAAAAATGAGAAGAAAATGAGATTTTGGAGGTGGAAGGAAGGGTGAGGAGGGGGATGACACAGATATAGAGGAGGAAACAGCGAGGGGGGTTTTGCACCATCTTCGAGGTTCTTAATTTTCTTATTAAATCAATAATAATAAATAAAATCTATTTTTTTTTTTAATTTATAAAATCTATTTGATTTTTGAGGTTATAATAATTCAAATTCAATTTAGAATCTTATTTCCTAATTTTAAATAACTAATTTTGTCATTTATTCCAAACATTAGGGTATTTATTTAAATATTAATCCTTAGTTTATCCAAAGTATCATTTTTGAATTTTATATAATTAAAAAACCAATTAATAACATGGGTTTGAATATGATATAATATCGTGTCTCTTTCTTGGATTTACTTGAATTAAAAAAATGAATTAATTTAGAGGAATAATAAATATATAATAATGTAGAGAGAGAGGGGGGAGAGAGAGAGGAAGAGAGCCAAGTGGAAGAGTGTGATGGGATGAGAAAACGGTGTCGTATTTTTATTTATTATTATTAATTTTTTTTATTTAAATACTGATAATTGACCAAACCCAATAAAGCATTTACTTTTTTGAAGAAAAAAACAAAAGAAAAGGAAGAAAGTAAGTTGAGAGAAAATAAATTATAATGCAAAATCGCGGCGATAAAATTTTGTGTTGGACTTTAAAATTAAAATACTTTTTGACTAACTTCCATAAATAAAAGTAAAATATATATTTTTTTTATATATAATTATAAATTTGATGGTTCTATTTTTGTGTAAGAATTATTGGTTTATTTATTTATTTATTATTATTATTATTAGTATTATTAGTATGGAGAAAGACAGGATGGGAAGAATGTAATGGTGTGTATGAAAGTGGGGAAGCAAGACTGTGGAATAGGGGACAACATGTGATCCATGAATTTCTTTATAATTCTTCTCTCTATTTTTTATTTTTTATTTAATTTATTTAATTTATTTATTTTATTTATTTTTAGTTATTTATATTTAATTTTGTGTAAACTGAGAGGGGGGTGTGTAGTCGTTTCTTTTGACTAACTGCCTCACGCACAAGACAATTCCCTCCCGACTCTTCTTTCCTTCTTTTCTTTTACCATTTTACTATTACTTATTCTTCTTTAATTATTTTTTAATTTCATTCTTTTTACTTTAATGAGTTTTAAACTAATGTACTACCACTATCAGCTTTTTATATTTATATTTATATGTATATATATACTATTACCTTCTTCTTTTTTTTTTCTATCCGTTCTTTTAAAATTTTCAACGTTTCTTTCGTCTCTAAAATTATATTTTTAAAATTTTATGATAGTTTGTTTTAGTTGTGTATAGTTCAATTAATCAAGATGCGACACCAGAATAAATGATAGATACATGAATGAACTGATGTCACGTTTGAATGAGAGAAATCTTGAAGATATGAAGACTATGGAAGGCTAAAAATGAATGAAAGTCACTATTTATACCAACAATGTGCACTTTTTTTTCTTTCGATATTTCAATTATATGAACTCCACAAATTTTATGTTGAGTGGTTTCTTGTGAACTTTTGTAAAATGCATGTGAGTTATAACAAAACATATTAGAAGGACTCTCTGTTTGTTTGTGAGGATAGTCTTCATTTTCAAAACGAAGAGTAAGTAACATGACTATGTCACAAGAAATGTCATGGAAATTAACTGTCAAATTTAGTTTTCTAAATCTTATACATGGGTTGTTACTAAGACATAACTTTGACACGGAGATAAGAAATTCAAATTTTCATCCACGTTTGTATACTATTCTAGAAGTTTTTTTTTTTTTTTTTTAACAAATTTATTCATTTTGTGAGTAGACAGGTGGGTAGACAAGTATTTGTAATAGAATAATAGGTTGATTTTTTTAAAACAAATACAAATTATTGTTAAATAATTTACAACAGCGAGGTAGAATAAAATATTTAAAGTTCATCAAATTGAATGATCATGAGACTAAATATGATTTTAATTTCATTAGTTCCACTTTTACTCTCAAAATACAAACTTTTCTGTTTCCTAAACCAATCTCTACTAAATTAGAAATGGAATAAATGAATGGCAGCCCAAATTTAAATTTATTGCTTTTTATGGGTCAGTGTCTTTTCATTATTTAATATTTGCCTTTTCTCCATTCCAATTTTCATTTAAAAAAGTAACTATAAAACTAAATTAACCCATTAAGATATTATTAATTTAAGCCTAATTGAAGGGTTCATCCTACAAATCTTAATAGGTAAAAGATTCAATTTTTTGTTCCTATTTATGTGATGTTAAAGGTAAATAAATAAATAAATGTTTGATTTTATCTTCTATTTCTTTAACAGGCTGATACCCCCTTCTATAACTAGATATTATTCATATCATTGCATGCAACCTCTGGCATCCTTCAATCCAATATTGACACGTGTCCAAATTTTAATATGGTATGGGCAAAATCAGCGACACGTGTCCGCAGTCTAACATGCAGTCATGTGGATGCCATTACCAAATCACATTCATCCATCTCTCTATCCACTTCCACTTGCAGTGTCTGCACAATTCCTCTCTCCTCACATCTCCTATACATACATATATATATATATATATATATATATATATATATATATACACACACATATATATATATACATATATATTTCTTTTTCAGTAAATTACTTATTAAACTTTCAATTATTTGGTACTTTATTATATTGGAAATTTGGATATGGAAGAAATGATGTTATGGCATTTTATTTTTAAAAAATATTATTTTAAATTTGAATGCCTACGCCCATTCTACATGGCTATAAAAGTTGGACCCGAATGAATTACAAGTCAGACATTTATTAACATATAGTCAATCGTTTTGTTTTTTTTTTTGGTCAATTTAATATTATAAATATGAAGATCACGTTTAAACCGGTAGACGCCTGCCTTATAGAAGGGACTATCAACCAGTTAAAGAAATTGTTTCTCTTCCTCAAAAGTTCTAATCTTTCTATTAAGCTAAGCTAAAATTAAAAAAATAATAATGATTTTGTTTGATTAATGTTAATATGTAGGCCACCAAGCACTTAAACTATAATTTGAATTTATTAAGCCTAGACTTAATAAATATACTCTTAAAAGTTCTAGTACATTATTTGCAGGTTGGCTCAAGTGAACCTAAACTATTTTTAGAAACCACCTATTTGACCTTGCCAATATATCCAGTGGGATATTAAATCTTACATAGTGTATTATACCTTAAACTCATTTCTTCAAGACCTTTTATCATAATCCTTAACCACTAAGTCAACTTATGGTAGTTAGGCTTAGGCTATCAAATCATAAAGAACAAAAAATATAACTTCTAAAACTATATGAACTATATTTTTCTTTAAACCACCTGATGAAATTCATAATTTAGTTTTAAGCTTAGAAGTATTGAAGATACCCATCACATACCTGTGCTAAGTAGGAGACTATTTTGCACAGCTAGTCAGCAATTTCACATAAGTTATTTTTAGTGAACAGGAAGGAATTTTCAGTAAGTATAACAATTAAAAAGCAAAACTATAATTGAAGATAATGCATACAAGATCGGCCGACATGGTTTATTATTATTTTTATAAAAGAATATAAGCCGTATAAATGGAGCATGGATGTAATATATGATAGTACTTATTTTAGTTAAAAAAAGAACAAGTAAGATCTGAAACGTGGAGACAAAACTGAATGATTCCGCACAGAATGGTTGTCTAAAAGAAGAAAGATGCATAAAGGATTAAAGAATTGGGAAGGCTATCCCCTTTAAATTAAGGCATCAAAATTCAATATGAACAGTTCCAAATCGGCCAAAGGGGATTAAATGGAGAAGGCTGTCTTTTTGTATCTACCAAAAGCGAATAGGAAAAAGGGGATTGGCAGAGAGTTCGGCGGGGCAGTGTTTGAATTTGCTTTCTGATTCCCTTTATCTCATTATTAATAATGTGAACTTGAAGCTAAATTCCAGAGAGAGAAGAAGATAATGGAAACTAGAGATAATAATGTCTTACAGTCAAAATAAGTATAAAAAGTTATGGGGATTTTGTGGATGGAATGATTCCTCACGTTAGCGGCTTCCTATTTGTTTATGATCTATTTTCACATGCCTTTTTTTTAAATGTATTTTATTCCATGTTTTTGCATAGAATATTAATCATTATCTGCATTTCATGTTTTTCTTACTTTAGATTTTTCTTACCTAAAACTTATGGGCAAGGTGGGACATCTTTGAATGAATTTGGATTCTAAACTACCTTATCTTAATAAAGTTCTTTGTGATTACAACTTACAGTGGTATGTTGATGAGAAGCCCTTGGAACTTTTCTGATCCTTATCTCATCTCTTGAGGTAAGTTAGAGATATCAACTTCCTACCAAAGTTTTCTTCGGATTCCATATTTTTCAAAAATGTTAGTCCTTTAAGACAAACCCTCGACTCTTTTTCTATTATCAATTTTTTATTTAAGATTTTAAATTTGTCTTTTTTCGACAAAAAATGAAATTTATTAAGAAAGCCATAGAGGCTATACAGGTATTCAATCCTTCTCAGCCAAAAATAGAAGCACAGAGGGAAAGGTATCACGCCAAAAAGGCTCTAAGGGTCATTTAGAGTGGTAGTCCTGATTTTATGGGTTTAAAGGGGCATGTATGAGAAACACCAATCTAAAAAGAATAATTATGTAAAAAAACCATACTTTAAAACCACCTAATAAAGACATCTAAGATTCCTAAGGATTACGATTCAATGGAGACAAGTTTATTAAAGCACAAAAGATAGAGGATTTTAGTTAAGGTTTGAGCTACACTGGGAATGCATGTATGTATCAACAAAAAACAATGGTCTAGCCTCTAACTTCACCAGAAGAAAAATAAGCTACAGGTTTTTGTGGATTGGAAATAACATACCCTTACATTCTGGGAATCGGCCAAATCCACCTTTGCAGGCTTCTCCCTATTCTGTTGCATTCCAATAATGTCGCAGAGACAAATGTGATTACAAAAGTTTCAGCAAGTCATGGTCATGGGGGCTTTGGTTTTCATTGTATCTTTTTTTGTTCGCTGGCAAGTTAGTAGAGGCTAAAACTGTTCTGAACGGATCATATATGGCTACAAAGATTTTTCCCAACTTCAAACATAGATGACAAGTAAGGACGGCAGGAACTAACCTTGCCTTAGCTACACCATAATAGAGACGTCAACCGTTGGCAGTTGATTTGAAGTGATATTCATCAGTAGTTGAGTACATCAGGCCTTCCTCTTCTAGATTTTTCATCGCTGGACTGCAAAATAATAAGCAAAATGGTATGCTTAGTTAACCCCTATTTGAAGGATAAGTGCTGCCGTCAAGTAGAAGTGTGACGAACAGTGTAATACATGAGCTTCTCGAGTGGAACTTTAAGATGTTGAGCAATGACATCACGGTGTGCACCCCTCTCAGTACTGAACATAGGAAGAGTGAATATATAGATCCCAATAATAAATTAAAACTAAGAAACAGATGAGCAGGGAATGAAAATAGTGAGGGAGCATTCCAGACTTTGTCTTTCACTAAAAAAAATAAAAGGAGAATAAAAAAACATAACACTAATCAATTTCAGAAAGAGAGAAACATAGACCAAGGCAATTATACCAAGGAAAGATGAACAGGTCATCCCTATATGATGTAATCTGCTTGACAAATGACGTTCCATTCAAAAAGAAAAGAAACCATAACACAAACCCATAAGAAATTGAATAAAGAAACTACAATGAGCCCTAATTATTACCGCCCTCGCTCAAAATATTCAGGATCAATCATGACACTCGAACAAACCTTATGCATCATTCAACATAGTACAAGTAACACTATAGATTGTTGCTTATATCGAGACAAATATTTTTAATGTTGTACCATTCTATACTTAATTAGATGCTCTTAAAGGAAATACCAATTAAGTAAGATTAGGACCACAACTCTTCTCAATAAGTCTCCCTTTTCTATGACTGCTTGAATGATTGGTAAGGCATACAAGAGTGCTTGAGTTATTTGAGGATCCTAATAAGTAATAATAAACATCAAGCTATGGAGGTCGAGTATCTCCTCAAGAATCCAGTTATCTATCATGAAAAGGAGAAAAAATATATGCAGTGAAAATATATGCAGCATTGTTAAAAGGCACTCACTCGCATGAAGGAAGTTGCAAAAAATCTAAAATCTTCTGCTCAAGGCTCTTCCAACCATCACCACCCACTTGACCAGAATACTGAAAAAGCATCATCAGAAGGATGCATAAACAAACTGTAGCTCACCACATGTGGATTGAACTACAATCTTACTTGATTAAGAATGGGAGCTTGATATCCTTTCTTAGGAGTATTAGATAAATTTGGCACCGGTGGCTGAGTAGTCATACTGCTACTTTGTTGTTTCTATCAGCATAATATGAACATAACCCAAAAGGAGAAGCAGATAAGACAATGAATATTACTTTTCGCCTAATAAAAAAATCAACTAAAATCTGAAATGGCTCGATTGATACCCGTAACCTGGTGTTGTAAAAATGAACATATATGCATTCAATGAAGTGACTTGTGATCTCATTATAGTCGGTCACAGGCCTGGAAAACAAATATTTTACATCAAAATCCCCCACTGCAATATTATGGAAATCAAGTACACAAGTTGCATGTGGTGAACTGCTCATGCAATGATTACGCTACAAAAATATCAAAATTTCAACAGGTGCAAAATCATAATTAATGCGTCTCATCTGAGTTCAAGTGCTAAAATTATGACCATAAACTCATATACACTATAGTTCAAGAACTGTTTTAATACAGTTTGACTCACAAACCAAATCCCTCTGAAATAAGAAAAAACCAAGAGACCCCAAAAAAAGAACTATGGAAAAACTATGTTATACCTGATAGAAAAGACATTCAAAGTTCTTCCCTGGAAGCTTTTCAAGTGGCCATGGACCCGGACGTACATGCCATCCCTGAAGCATTAGAATCTTAGTTAAAAAAAGATTCGCTAAAAGGAAATAAATTTCAGAGAGATGACTGAATACATCACTTAGTCCAAAATAAGCAGACCCATCCCCCAATGATCAAAACTCTCAAGATTTAATTTCAGGTCAAACTTAGTCATCCATTGGCTGGAAAAAGAAAATATACAAACTCCCGTAGGATAAGACAGAACAATGAATTGCAAATATATACGAATAAGACTACTGGTTTGGTCATAACCTCACAGGCATGCTCATAAAGATCTATGCAGGCTACAAACTGAGGGCGTACTATATCTATATTGAATCATATTTAACTAGATTTAAGCTTACTTGAATTCTAATATTCGTGTGTGAAATTTCTGAGTCCGTAGTGCTTAATTCAAAACAGCTAGTTTGCAAATTTTCCTTGGCGCTCGGTCAATATATTTCATTGTACTAAAAATTAGTAAGAGAATTCCTTGAACGAATACTTAAGAACCACAAAATTCCTTTCGAACTCCATGTCTACAATATGTCAAGTTCCATCCTAAATAACAACAGATTCTAGGCAACAGTGAAGAACCAATCATGAGAATTTTAAATTACAAGATTTTGAGGGAATTTTTTTAATGTTATTAGGACAAGGTAAAAAGAACATTACAGTATTCCCTCAACTTCACTTGAATCTGCAGCTTCATTGACCCTATTAGATACAACAAACAAAATCGATATCAACACGGGAAACATCTTAACTTCTTTACCATCATATTGGGAGCAGCATAACAAACCATTTGTTACAATCAATCCATCCAGTGCCATCATCCAGTGAAAAGGTCACATCAGTAATTCTTCCTGCTCTATTGCGCACCATTCCTACAAGCTTAACCTGAACATATTGCAGCTCATAACAAGCAACTCAACGAATAAAAATAAACAAAACATACAAGTTCAATCACTAACATTATTAACATCAACGCCATCAATAACAAAATTCGATTGATCACCACTAGACAAGAATGCGTCGTTTATCTGCTTCACTGTTAACGGAAGCAATGACTGGACATCTCGATTCTGCAAATTAGACTAAAAAATATAAGACTTCATTTAATAGATAATATACTTTCTGAAGGAGATAAGAAAGGAAAACATGCGTATCCAATTCCAATAAACGAAGAGAAACAAATTCAACTTAATTTTCCACACAACTGATAGGAGAATAAACTATTGCCGCGGAAAACGTAGAGGCAAAAATACCGTTAGACCAACCAGACTTCAATTATATGAACCAGTCGTCAAATCGTATAGATATACGAATTATTGTGCCCCTAATTAGTAATAAAAGTACGAATCATTTCAAACTGCTGGAACGATTTCAGGTAGCAAAAATACGTTAATACGCATGTTATAAATCCGAACAGCGGAGACTGGTAATCCATACAGAAATGAAAGGAATCCAAAAGAGAGTTAATATTATATCTAGAGATAGAACGTACTTTCGCCGGCGAGAAGGAAGGATCAGGGGCCTGGGTAGCCTGAGATGGCATGAATCCGCCCCCGGAGAAGGCAGCGTTGCCGTCGAATTGACTTCCATACATCATTCTTCTACTGTAATGCTTCAAGCGAAGAATCTTCAAACTCTACAAGAGCATCAAGTGACTGACCGAGAGCAAATTGAAGAGCATTTTCGAAATTAAATTTTCATTTTGTTAAAACCTAGAAGTACCGGTTCAGCTTCCCTCCCGCCATTTCTCAGAGCCTTATTTTATTCAATTTTTGGATAACAGAATTCTATTACTTTTTTGCCCGCTTGTTTCCGCGCGCTCTTTAAAAATTTACCTTATAGATATATATATATATATATATATACACACATATAATGCTTGTTTCCGCGCGCTTTCTATCTCCCTCTTTAAAAATTTACCTTATAGAGAGAGATATATATATATATATATAAAATATATATATATATATATATATAATGCTTGTTTCCGCGCTCTCTCTCTCCCTCCTTGAAAATTTACCTTAAGAGATATATATATATACACATATAATGTAGTTGGCTAAGATGAAAGTCTCACATCGACTAATTTAAGAAATAATTATCGGTTTATAATCAAATAATACTCTCTTTATTGGTATAAGGCCATATTGGAAAGTCCAAACCAAAGTAACGAGAGCTTATTTTCAAAGTAGACAATATGCATTATTGATTGAATTTTGCCCGATTTTATTTATTAGTTTGTGAGTTTTTTATTTAGTTTAAAAAATGCATGGATTTTTTTTCACTATTTCAAATTTATTCTTTTATTTATCTCTAAAATTCAAGTCAAAAGAATCACTCAAATGAAATTTTAAAAAATTAAGATTTTTTAAATTCAACAATGGATTACGGATAATCTATAAAATTGACAAAAAAAAAAACATTTATTTATTTATGTATTTATTTACAAAATCTACTAAGCAATAACGAAAGGAGAGAATATTTGAAATCAAACTCGCCTTCCAATAGCAATTCTTAGTGGGTTGATCCTCCACGGACCGCATCCCAACCGCCGGTGAGCGGAAGATTCCGCCGCCGGCAACGACGACCAAGAAGAAGAAGAAGAAGATTTTGGCTCGCATGGTGATTGGATAAACTCACATTGGGACCCACAAGACCCAAATCTCGTCCGTCCATCCCCAAACTCATCCGACAGACAAGAATGCTTCTGGGACTTGGACTGCTTCCTCCACGGCCTAAACAACAGAAACAACGATTGTTTACCATGAGTCCTGGCTGGCTTCGGCGGGCGTAGGCTGAGCGCAGCCGGCGGTGGAGTGATCAGCAGCGTAACAGCCTCCGTGTATGGCGGATCCTTGGGGGTCCCCGGTTGCATCTCCCACTGAAAGGGAACCCCTTCCGTGGTTCGCCTGTAGTAGTACAAACGAGAGGAGCAACCCAAAGATGAGCATCTGGATGGAAGATTATCCAAAGACAGCACAAATTCGGCATCATCTTTCTCGTCCTTCATAGTCCAAACTAATAACTCAACATCTCAAAATTTAGATTAATATATATATATATATATGTTCGATTAAACTGAGGAGCTTGTGATGTGACGGGGGCATGAGAAAAGTATTGAATGTGGGAATAAATATGGGTTTAGGGAGTTGATTAATTTGTACATAAACTTTAGGTTAAAATATCTAATCTAATCTAATCTTTCGTTGTGCTAGGGACAACTTAGGGAGTTTATTTGTTGTGTTACGATGGCAACCTTTTATTTTATTTTAATTTTTTTATTTATTGGCTTTTTTGTGGTGGTGAAAAAAAAAGGTTTTTTACTAAATATTTTCCATTCATATGCCAAAAATTAGTCATTGTTGAGGGGTCGAGGAAGCCTTGGCTTTGCACTTTCAACCACCTAACCTTTGAGACTCGCTACCTAACGTCGCTTCATTTTTACATCTCCCCTCTCTTCCTTTCATTAAAAATCTTATATAATATATATGATATTGTCTTCTTCGACTCATTTTAAAATGTTTTATATCAATAAATATAACATTTTTACTTATACAATTACAATATCCCTTTTAATTAGCAAGCATGTAACCACTTCTCTTAATAATATTTAACAAAATAAGTCTGGAAAATAATACAATCATGTCAAAGACAAATTTCATATTCACCATTTTAAAAATTAAAATTAGTCTCTATATAAAATAAATGATTTATTATTATTATTAATTTTTTTGTCCAATAAAGTTTTTCTTTTGGAACCATGATAACCACTTCATTAGAAATAGCTATGATTGTTTGGATTCTTCTTTGGTACTCTTCCACTTCAAACCTTATTCCATTCCACTTTAATGTAATTAATTAAATACCCAAACCTTAAATTACCCTATCATTATCATAACCTTGTCTCTTTCTTGTGACATTTCCTAATTTAATTTAATTGTTTCTCTGTCAATGCTTGAGCTTTTACAAAAATTGCATCATTTTTTTTTTTAATCTATTGATCGAATGGTTCTTTTATCTTGCAGTCCAACGCTGTGGTGATTAGGCTTGTTGCATCTAACATATTCTCACATAGTTTCTCTGGACCCCTACTTGATCATCAGTAAGTACATTTGAGGTTTGTGTTGATCTCCTCCTCTCAAGAGTTTAATCACAAACATGCAAGCTAACTATGTAGCTTTTTGAATCAGTTTTTGATTGGGCCTTTTAAAGTTTGGAGACCAAACTCCAAACTTTTCGGTCTTATTTCAAATCAATTAATTTTATAAAGAAAAAAAAATTGAAACATGCGAGTACCCTGTTAAACACAAAAATGAAATTTCATAAATCTATTAAACTCAAAATTACTTCAAATAATTACTAGACGAGTTATAATATTGAGATTTTAATTTAATCCATCATTTCCTACATTTTTGTGACAAAAATAAGGGCGGAGACCTTTTTAATATATATATATATATATTTTGTTTGTTTCTTCATTTTGTTTTTGAGAGTTGGAATATGGGGTTTTATATGGAAACGTCTGAATTCATGGTTGAGCGTTTTAAGAGACCTCTTGTGGATAAGGGCTTGATGAATTTTAGCGATTAATGGGTTTAACCCAAATGCTACAGCCTCCTCATTATTTCCCCACTTTTTATTTATTTATTTATTTTTATATAAATCCAAGCAATATTTTGAAAGGGTAAAATGAGACGGAAAATTTCCTTAATTTTTGTGTTATTTATAAAAATAAAATGTTATTTCACCACCTCTTTTTTTGAAATTAATAATAAAAATAAAAAAAGGGTTAACAAACAAAAAATACTCATAATTGGAAGGAAATTTATTGAAGATGAGTGGTTAAATGAATGGTTTAACAAATGAAAATGGTTGGCTGGTCATTGCTTCATATTATTTTAACAAATGGATTTGTTGCATGCGAATGCATACAAAAATGCAAAGGTTAATGGATTTTGGGAGAAAAAACAATGCAGTCAATTTTGTGGATTAAACTAGATACAAGCCAATTTTATTCTTTTAAATTAGGTCCCATTTAATTTTTTTAAAAAAGTAAGTTTATAAATATGTTATTTTATTAAGAAAAATAATCTCATCACTATAAAAATAAAAAAATAAAAAAAAGGTATACTTTTTTTTAAATAAAAAACTAAATTCGTAAAAATGATATATAAATAAATTAAAACTGATTGTCCAAATAATTATGGGGCTGACTTTGGAGAAAGAAAATAAATAAATGTCAACTTGAAGAAATTAATGAGGGAAAAGGGTAGTTGGAAGTTAAAAAATAAATAATTTTAATGTGTGGTCATTCAAGAATCATTTTCCGACCATTTCAAAGGGCACCGGACTCCCAAAGTCCTGCCACCTCTAAACCGTTAATTAATAGATTTATCCGCTATATTATTATTATTCAACCTTACTCTTTATTTAAAATATCAAATTTGAATAAAACATTTAAGGATAAAGATAAAATTTATTAACCAATCAAAACACATTCTACCAAAGAAGAATGAAAGTAATATATATATATTTGAATTAGTTAAAAATAATAATAATAATAATGGATTAGATGGTAACCATATCACATAAATTGAGGTAACCTATGTTCACTTTTATGAGGTTAACGATTATGGATTTAAGCTACTCTTAAATAAACTGTTTAATTGAAATTTTGTATTTTAAAAAATTGAACTATGCTTTACCTTCGATTATAATTAATATATTTATTAAATTAAATTAAGTTAGCGACAAGCACGTGTAATGAATTGTATAAAATTGAATTAGAATCTACTATTGATGTTACCAATGATTTTCAATAATATTCTATTGCCACCACGAGGATGAAAAAATATGTATATATATATATTGTAGTGAGTGTGGCAGTGGCTGTACTCCAAATAGAAAATGTTGCAAATGAAAGGGTAGTAGAATTATATTTATTATAATATAATTTTAAAATCTGGAAATAATAACTGGAGATGTAGGAAAATCGGATCTATAGTAGTTTTTAGCCACGTGAAACACGAGCGACTTTATATGCAAGGAAATCAGGGTATGGTAATTTATTAATTTACTGTCATGCACTTCCACATTATTTTTCTTCATATTTTTTAAATTTAATCTCAATTCAACAATTCAGCTATGTCTACATTTTATATTTATATTTTTTTAATTTTTATTTTCTCTATATTTGATTTAATACTTCAATAAAAAAAATAAAAAATAAAAGAAGAAAAGCGTAATCTATTTATAAATATAATATGATAGTTAAAAAAACAGTGAACTATGTTCGGTCTTTTTATCTGTGTGAGTTAGCTACAAGAAACTTCAGTTAAAATTTATTTTTGTCTTTTTTTAGTGGTTAAAAAATTTCACTTTTCAAAAGCAATTATTATATTATATAATTTACTGAAGTAAAAAAGGAAATAAATAAATGTGAAGGGGTTTCTCAAGAAATTAAGGAAAAATAAAAGGAATGTGCACGTGGAAGGGCACGGCGGTTATGTTAACCATGGTTAAAAGCATGGTGTTAGGTGGGTTTGACTGGTTAGGTTTGGTTTGGCGTTGGATCGTTCACGCGCTTCTTTGCCCTCACAATATAAACACGTCCCTCTACCGTTTCCTCTATTTCAACGCCTCCGCACAGCCACCACTTCCGCTACTCTCTTTCTCCTCCGCCGCCGTGCAGCGGAGTTCCTGCATATTTTTTTACACTGCTTTTCACATTTGCAGTTTATACAGCTTCTCCAATTCTTAAACGGACTCCGGTGGTCTTTTTCCTTTTGGCTAAATCATCTCGGTGCCACCGGATTCCAGTGAGGTGTTCAGTTTCTTCGTTTCGGATTCCGCATGCAATCGGAATCGAATTCTATGAAGGCTTCTCCATTTGAGTTCATGTCGGCTATAATTAAGGGCAAGATGGACCCGTCTAATTCTTCATTTCAGTCGACTAGCGAGGTTGCCTCAGCTATATTAGAGAATCGCGAGCTGGTTGCGATCTTAACAACCTCGATCGCGGTCATGATTGGCTGCTTCGTTGTTCTCGTGTGGCGGAGATCTGGAAATCGGAAAGTTAAGACCGTGGTGCTTCCTAAGCCGTTAATTTCGAAGGAGACCGAGCCCGAGGTTGAAGACGGGAAGAAGAAGGTTACGATATTCTTCGGTACGCAGACAGGCACCGCCGAAGGATTTGCTAAGGTTTGCTAACGAAAAACTCTCGAAGACGTGAATTTTCATTAATTCGTTTGTTGTTCATAAAATTTTGGCTATTGCTTACGGATTGTTACTGTTATTAGGCTCTATGTGAGGAGGCAAAAGCACGGTACGACAAGGCCACATTTAGAGTTATTGATTTGGTAAGTTTTTGTTAGGAATCACCCCTCTCCACAATGCCTCGTACCAATGGAGATAGTATCCTCTCCACAATGCCTCATACCAATGGAGATAGTATTCATCGTTTATAAACTTATGATCTTCTACTAAATTAACTAATGTGGGACTCACTCCCAATAATCCTCAACAATCCTCCCCACGAACAAAGTACACTATAAGCCTCCCCTTAATCGACTCCTTTCTTTGGAGCCCTCGAACAAAGTACACCCTTTGTTCGACACTTTAGTCACTTTTGACTACACCCTCAAGGCTCACAATTCTTTGTTCGATATTTGAGAATTCTACTTCATGGCTAAGTTTAGAGCATGGCTCTGATACCATATTAGGAATCACGACTCTCCCCAATGGTATGATATTGTCCACTTTGAACATAACCTCTCATGGCTTTGCTTTGGGCTTCCCCAAAAGGCCTCATACTAATGGAGATAGTATTCCTCACTTATAAACTCACGATCTTCCACTAAATTAACCAACGTGGGACTCACTCCCAATAATCCTCAACAGTTTTTAAGAAATTTTTTTTCTTATTTTGTGCCTGTGATGTTGGTGGTGACCTTTTGGTGCATTCTGGTTTTTGTTAACGAACTACGGTGCTGACATTTGGAGTTGGACCTCATTACGCAGGATGATTATGGGGCTGATTACGATGAATACGAAATGAAATTGAAGAACGAGTCTTTTGCTCTCTTCTTATTGGCAACGTGAGTTTCAACCTGCATGCAAGCTTTCCTGTTTCTACTTTGATTTCTCGTTTTCAGTTCAAGATTTAAACTCCGTTTCTAGTTTTTTCTTCAAGTGGCTAATTGGTGAGGAATGCAGGTACGGCGACGGAGAGCCCACTGATAATGCCGCTAGATTCTATAAATGGTTCACCGAGGTAAAATTTCTTTCCGCATATTTCATTTTGTGCAGATGACTAGAATTGTTTTGCTGATTTAAATATACATGTTTATAGGGGAAAGAGAGAGGGGAGTGGCTTCAGAACCTTCATTATGCAGTCTTTGGCCTTGGCAACCGACAATATGAGCATTTTAATAAGGTTTCAATGCTTCCTTAAAAAATTCCTAGGCGTTGGTTGTAACTGTTGATTATTTCATTGTGTCTGATTCAGATTCAAAGATGTTGACTAAATTTATCTTTTCGTTGGTGACAAACAGATTGCAATAGTGGCAGATGAGGCGCTTGAGGCTCAGGGTATGCTCTTGTTTTCTTCCTGATGTTCATTTTTTAGGAGACCACAAGTATAGGAAATCTTGAGAACATGTTTAAGATTAGGGCGAAGATTAATGTTTCTTTGAAGATAGTTTTTAAAATTTATTACGGTTATCAATAAAATTTATTATTTTGTTTGCAGGAGGCAAGCGCCTTGTGAAAGCTGGTCTTGGAGATGACGATCAATGCATAGAGGATGACTTCACTGCTTGGTACAGAGAAAGTGACTTGTTTACAGATGTTAATTAAAGAAGATTGTCCACTCATACTTACACTATTTGCTGCCGTTTTTAGGCGAGAATTATTGTGGCCTGAGTTGGATCAGTTGCTTCTGGATGAGGATGATGCAACAGCAGTGACCACACCTTACAGAGCTGCCGTATCAGAATATCGAGTTGTATTCCATGATCAAGAAGATGTAGCTGCTGAGAACAACTGGATAAATGCAAATGGTCATGCTGTATATGATGCTCAACATCCATTCAGGTTGTGAGAATTTGATGTATTGAGTTTTAATTTGTGCAACACCTTGTGCCCCTCTGGAAATTTGTAAAATATGGAAAAGTAGAAGGAATCATAGGAGGAATCTAACTGATTGTTTTATTGCATGAAGATCTAATGTGGTTGTGAGGAAGGAGCTCCATACGCCAGCATCCGATCGTTCGTGTTCTCATCTAGAGTTTGATATTTCTGGGTCTGGACTCAAGTAAGTAGCACTCAAGTTGAGTTTGATATTTCTGAAAGATAAACTATAGTTTATTGGTAGTTTTATTTAAATATCTGTACTACAGTTTAATTGCATTACACTGCCCTTCAACATCTGCTCTCTTTCTCAGATATGAAACAGGGGATCATGTTGGAGTTTACTGTGAGAATTTAACTGAGACTGTGGATGAGGCACTAAACTTATTGGGTTTGTCTCCTGAAACGTATTTCTCCATACATACTGACAACGAGGATGGCACTCCACTAGGTGGAAGTTCTTTACCTCCTCCTTTTCCATCCTGCACCCTCAGAACAGCATTGACTCGATATGCAGATCTCTTGAATTCACCCAAGAAGGTATTTTTTGGAATTATTGCTTCATGCTGCTGATTCATTAGGAAATCTATATGTTAATTGAGGTGATTAATCTAGTCTTAATGTATGCATTTTCAGTCAGTGTTGCTCGCACTAGCAGCACATGCTTCAAATCCTGTAGAGGCCGACCGATTAAGATATCTTGCATCACCTGCTGGGAAGGTAGTGATTTAACCTGGATATATTAAACGATTAGTTGGATGCCTTTCTGTTTATCAATTCTCACCCACTTATTTATTCGGTTAAAATTGTGTAGGATGAATATGCCCAGTCTGTGATTGGTTGCCAGAAAAGCCTTCTTGAGGTCATGGCTGAATTTCCTTCTGCTAAGCCCCCACTTGGTGTCTTCTTTGCTGCTGTTGCACCACGCTTGCAGCCTCGATTCTACTCCATATCATCATCTCCAAGGTATTTATAATTTCCTGACTTTTTCTCTTTTAGCATTTTTATCATCTATTGGAATTTCTTTGGACAGATTTGGCATAACACCCAAGAGAAATTTGTGTGGATGGAATGAAGGGTCTAAGTCGCATACACGGTTTGGAATAGCACGTTGTAAATATAAGTCGCAAGGAAAGGACTTTACGTTAGGATTTTAGGGGAGTTGATGGAAATAAGTTTTGATAGACGGTGAAAGATTTGATGTTTTGGTCAAAGAATTTAGGAAAGAATTTCACCCATGTATCTCCCTTTCTCTGTGAGGTGTTCATATCTGTATTTTGTGCATTTAACAGGAT